GTCAGTGTGCTAAAATTTCTTCATTTTCCTTGTTTAGAATCAGAGGTGCTAGTTTCAAATACTTTTTAGTCTTAAATCTGTATGCTAGATATTGAATAAGGTGGTTTTATTGTTTTTTGTCACTTTTAATAATATTTCTGTACATGTTAAAAACAAATTCAACTCTCTGTATAAATATATCGGGTGACCGTTAAGGCCCATGGGCCTCTTGTTATGTCTTTACTTTCTCAACATTTTGATAATTGAGTGGTTTTTTGATATCATGTACAAAAAATGTATAATAAGGATCAGTCACTATGGTTTTTTGAATCTGCATGATTTTTTTAATTTTTTTTCCCAGCGCCTTCAAGAATAATGTAGACATCCACATCAATCACATTCAGAGTGGACTGAGCCAGATGGGAAATCTTCACGCCTTCTCAGCTACCACATTCAATGTCTGATGATCTCCGTCAATGATTCGGACTGGAACTTTTATTACAATAATCCTTGTGTACTATCTATTAGCACTGCCAAATTCATGAATTCGATACAATCTGAAATTTGGAAAAAGCCAATCTGCAAACATGAAATGAATTGCAAATGGTGATTAGATGGTGCATGACAATAGATGGTACAGACCCAGTATTGAAGACAAAATATGGTGCGTCATGAAAAATTCAATTTAGTAGGTAAAGGTGTACCTATTTCTTCGGTTATCATATTTTTTGTTGTTTTATTCAAATAGTTGCTACTTTTTCGTGGATGAAATATAAAACGCGAAAAAAAATCCCAATCTTGTAAAAAGCATTGTGCAATATTGTAAAAATATTATACAAGGAAATACTGACTCTGTTAGAAAATTTTATTTTGTTTTTATATATTATTGAGATAATCGGTGGGAAAACCCCTGATATTCCAGTGTATGAATATCTGTTATTTTCATGAAAAAGTGTTGAACTGACATTGTACAAATTTTTAAATTCAGACATTTAAGACGAAAGTGTCTGTTTATAGTTTCATGTGGAAGTAAGACAATATTATATGTAATGTTTTGATGATTGTAACATGCGATCAGAATATCAATTTTGTTTATATATTGATGACAGACATATTGGAGAAAACTTATGATCCCTCCCCATGCCAACCCAATCAACAGGCCCTCCCCTCTCTCACCGTGGTGATTGTCCAGCCTCTCTCATCATAGAATAGTATATTTGCCACATTATTCTGAGATGAAATTTTTATATAAACACATATGGCCTTATTTAAACAACAAGAATACATAAGTATACAATTTTATTATATTTGCAAGAACGATTTTCTTACCCAGACAATTTATTGGTCACTGGTGACGTTAGTGATGTGGGAGTTACTTCCCCTTGTTCACAACTGTCGTAAACCTGTCGCAATCGCTGGTTACTCTTTCTGTTCACGATCTTAGCCTGCTCGCAGTCTATTACATGATTTTCTTTGTTAACATGGTCCGTTATGGCCAATTTACAACATACAATTTTGTTAATGACATGTCTGCTAAATATTCCAGAAATATGTTAATCCTATATGTTGTCAATCTGAGTGTTCCTGATATAACCCAGTAGCCCCATTTTGTCTGTATGTGTTATAGGTGAAAGTCATTAAGTCCTGGTTATAAGTTAAAGAATCACCGACACATATATACAGTGAATCATCATTATGTTATGAAGTATTTTTACTTTCACTGCTATTACTGTTCTTACACCTTTTTTGTTTGCATTGATATTATTTTCTTAAAGGTGTGACAATTATACTCTATTCCTGGAAACCTTTTCAACAGTAAAATATCCACCCTTCATCTATAAACATTGTATCTGCCTGCTGTTATCTCAATCACTCCTAAAATTTCATAATGAACTATTCCAACCTTTGAATTGGAAGAGTTCAAATGTGTTTTCATGGGTGAATGAGTTAATTTTACTCTTTGTGGTGAAAATACATTTTATCATCAGCTATTTACCATTACTTATTGGTGTAATGAATACACCCCCTTTGGAGATGAAACAATTATCCAGCAGTGAATATCTTACTGATGTACATATGTTATGTAAATCTGTCTCTTACTTGTAAAATACTTTATTTGTCATTGCAAAATATATTAAGCTAAAAACTTTTGAAACCTCATCCTAGTGTGCCCATTGATGAAAGAACACTGAAAAGTGTCAGTTTTTGACTTGTCGTCTTTGTAAGAAAGATTTTTGAACAATTTAAGTTTCAAGAGGAAAAGTTTGATATGACTTGTATGATATAAGGCCTTTGTTGACTTTTTTGTCTCATTTCTATTTTTAATGTCTTTAAAGGATTTTGTTAATCACGATGTACAACAAAGTGTGTGTTCAGACGAAAGTGATTCAATGTATTGGTAAGAAGACAGATGTATGGAGATTTAGAAAGTCCTCCATACCTTTTAATATTTTGGTAATTGCCTCTTTGATATCAGTAAAGAATAAAGTTTTCATGATTATATGACATTTTAAAAGAAAATTATACTGCATATCTGAAAGTTGATAAGTTTAAACAGCATTTATTTCATAATTGGCTCATATATGGTAAAAAAATGAAATAAAATTGTAGCTTGTTAATCGAGATACTAATTCCAGTGGTCTCACTGCTGGAAATTATTGTGAAGTGGAAATATATAGATATAATACATGTATAGATTATGTATTATTATATATACATATCAGAAATATTGCCACAGTGTAAATTTATAAACATGATCAGTTTGAAAAGTCACAAAGGAAACATTTCCCCTTGCAAGAGTTTCCACTTTAATAGTATCCAGCTAAAATCTTTTAATCTCACAATTCACGCTGGGAACAAAAATTGCTGACTTATTGAGGTTCCGTCCTATATTCAGGGTTCTTGCAGCTGTGAAAATTCATTTTGAGTATACATAATATTGTTAAAGACAACAGGAGGAAAAATTGATAAATAAATGCTCGTGTATGAGAGGGAGGGTGGAGGAGGGGGTCAAATGGAGGTCCAGCAGATTGGATATTTGTTTGACAGCAGATCAGATCTCAATTTCAGTGGTCAAGAAATATAACTGAATTTCTCTTTAACATTTTTCTTGCTCACAATCATCTGAAATAAATTGATTTTAATGAGTATATTGTTGTATTATTTGTAAATTATTTATCATTACCTTAATGGGAGTCTACAATTAACATTACCTGGTAGGTAGAAAATTTGTATTTCTGCCACTGGATTATATGTATTGCATAACAGACACCAGTCCTATAGACCTGTTGGATTCAAATAATTTGTTAACACATACTGTATACCGAGAAACTTTTGTCCTGTCAACCTTTTTGACCTTCTTTGTAAAATCCGTATTTGCCCAGTGTTAATTTCGCCCTTCACATGTAAATTACTTCATAGTGTGCTGTATATTAAGATTTGCTGTCATGATAAATTCGTCCCCATTACTGAAGAAGTTAAGGAAACAAAGACGAAATTTCTCGTTATACAGTATTATCACACCTGTGACAGATTGGTATCGCGTTCTACAGTGTGAGATCTCGCAATAGGGTAAAATATTATTGAATGTTATGGAAATGTTTTGAATGATGTACCAATACTGTATTTCTCCTGATGGCCTTTCATTAAAAAACATCATGTCTAAGGATCGCATATGTGATTCACCTTCCCAATTTTTTTTGTCGAGGAATCGACTCCTTTGACTACAGGTCTTGGTAAGCGCATCAGGTGCGACTTAAGTGGGTCACCATCAAATCAGTCTGCGTTCGTCCGTCCTTAAACAATTCTTGTTATCACGATCTGGAAGGATTTTTCCCAAATTTCATATTTGTAAGCTTCCCTTGGTCCCTAGTTGTGCATGTGTACTTTTGAGTGATCGAAAAAACAAAATGGCTGAAAGGTGGCCTCCTTGGATTTTGACTGTGAAAGTTTAATTGTTATCGCTTTTTCTCAAAAAGTACTTCAGGGATCTTTCTCAAATTTGATATGTAGGTTCCCCTTGATCTTCAGATGTGCACGTTTACTATTGAGAGTGATTGGTGAAACAAAATGGCTGACAAGCAGCCATCTTGGACTTTGATAGTTAAATTATGGCAATTTCTCAGTAAGTACTGGATGGATCTTTCTCAAATTTGATATGTAGGTTCCTCTTTGTCCTTAATTGTGCATTTTCAATTTTCAAACTGATGAAATAAACAAAATCGCTGACAGGCGGCTTACTTGGATTTTGAAAGTTAAAGTTTGTTATCGCTTCCTCAAATTTCATATTAAGGTTCCCTTTAGTCTCTAGTTGTGCATATTTCATATTGAGACTCATCCTAAAAACAACATGGCCCCATCTTGGATTAAGAACAAGTTTGTTATCGCTATTAGTAAAAATGTGATTGATATATATTTCTTAAATTTCGTGTGAAAGGTCCCCTTGGTCCATAATTGTGCATGTATTATTTTGAAACTGATTGAGAAAAACAAGATGGCCACAGGCAGTCATCTTGGATTTTGACAATTGAAGAATATTCTTCACTATTTCCCAGAAAGTACTTTTAAGATCTTTCTCATATTGCAATGATCAGTTCTATTTCTTTCACATTAAGAACTATACTAGTAAATATGTGAAACAAAAATTCACTATAAAGGTTGTCTTTTATACACAGCAGTATGAAGTTTAGATCAAAAGATACCTCAAGGTACATTTAATGTTTACACGACTTGATCAAACAGATAAGAGAGAAAAGAAGAGAAAATATCAAACTGACACAGAACTAATGAAGATGGTACAATGGTGGATGCCAAGATCTCTCTGGGATCTCTTGTTTGTTATTTATTAAGAGTTTGTGTGTTCACCTAGCTGTTTTAATATCATTTAGTTACCATTATATCATATAAACATCACACTTTGTGTTTTATGGTACCGCTATACACATATTAGGTGTAAATCAATAACAATACAGCTATATGGTACATGGTTTAATTGGTAATACAATGTACATTAAACAAGAGTAAAACATCAAGTAACATTGGTGTGTAAACGGCTCATTGCAACATAAATTAAGGAGGGCGTCAATATTGTAAACATACATGTATTGGCTCTAAACAACAGAAAGCATTAATTTGGTTTGTTTGTTGTTCATGGTACATTAGGCGCATTTGTAGATTATCACTAAGAAAAGGACAGATGTTCTCAAATGGAACGTGTAATAAGCAGAGGCGGATCCAAGGGGGTCGTCACCAGCGCACGTGACACCCCAGTCTAATCTAATTCCGTACACTGCATCTATTGATCTATAAATTACCAAAATTATTATTATGTTGATTTTCATTTCACTGGGAAATCTTACTAAGAAAAAAATAATAGTTTAAGAAGAGAGAGACCCTTGGAAAAGGCCAAAACTAGTATCTTACTTTATCTATGGAACATCATATACATGTCATGGTTCAGACCACATGCTTCGCAGCATTAATTGTCTGGAATGGTGACACCCTCCTGAAAAAATTCTGGATCGACCCCTGATAAGTATGAAGAAACAACACTACTAGCTTTTATGCAGAAAGTATTGTACAAGTCTGACTACATAATTACACGTATAGCAATTGAATTTGTCTAGTTCCATTACTAATCACTTATACATACTGTTCCTGTATAGCCATCAAATGATACTACACTAACCCTTTCACCCCTATGTAACTTGAGTAGACTCTACCATGCATTGATATGGATGAGTCCATTATGGTCTACAGTGGTGAAAGGGTTAAATATTGTACAGATAAATGTCTCATGAATATCAAAACTCTGTACCAGAAAATGTCAACAGTTAACTCGGAAATACTGAGTACACACTGATAGAGTAGCCTGATTTTAAGCAGTTTATTGTAAAAGAAATAAGCAAAAAGTAGAACACATTGTGAACAAATTAAAGGAGAAAAGTTCCCAACATTAATGAAGCTGTTATTTTAATTAATGAATTATTAGCAGCAATAAGTGAGAGAAAAAATGTATGATTTTGATTTTCAAATTCTACATCACAATTAGTAAGTGCAGGCAGATAGGTTTTGTGATGACAAGAAAACACACAAAATTATATATGCCCTTTTATAAGTCATTCACCCCAGAAAGTAGTCAATTTATAGAAATCCAAACTTAAATTAACACCAAAATCATGTCTATCTACGTATCATCATAGCGTGATGTCATAATGCCATACCTTGTAGCTTTAAATTCTGTAAAAACTTTGTACTCCAAATAGCCCATTGAAAGGGCACAAGGCAGAGATAGGTTACATAATGTTTCATCTACGAATTGAATTGTAAACCGTGATACCATCTATTGACCTTGGGCCTGTTTGTTTATTATGGAACAAATGGTTTGTCTGTTTTTAAATGTACCAGTAACATTTCGTGTATTAATCCTTGCGGACCTGCAAATGTTTATGCAGGCCTTGCAAGGCTTTGTCACGGCTCGCCTGAAAGCAGCATCAGATAACTAGGCCCGACCTTATTTAATAAAGGAACAACTTTGGTCAAACCGGTTTAACTGTATAAACGAAAACGGCCCTCAAGTCTTTAATGATTTGTGATATATAATAACAAATAAATCAGGTAAAAATGGTAATGGAAATGCCTGGGAAATGTCTGGAAAATGTATCACATATAATCTTATCTTCTTCACCAGTCTAAATGAACATGGAACAAGACGGAAGAAATCACAACTCTTTCATCGAAAACATTTTACATTTTTTCAGTCGGCAGACTTCAACCCAATTTTAACAGATTACAAAGTTTGTTACCAAAATTTGATGAGGTCACTTCACACACCACACATTAGGAAAACAGAGAGCCAAGAAAATATTGACACAACACTTCTAAATTGGCACAAACAAAAACATATATAATATAATATATAGTCCATTCTCAAGCTTCCTTCTCATCGCCTCAGCTTCTTTCACGAATACATTGTTTTTGGTTATTTTTAAAGTTTATTTTTTCCCATGGCATTTTAACTCATACATCTTGAATCTGGATTAATACAAATTTGTTTTCATAGCCAAAATCACTTGGACAAAGAAGGTTTCATAATAAATGTGAAATATACATATTATTATACAGGGTATCTCTGGTTATAGGAGCAAGGTAAGTAACAATGTTAGTAATTACTGTACGAGACCTTCATCTTCCTAATCAAAACGTTTTGTTCTCACTATACAACTGTTTTCTCTGGGAATGTGTTGTGACAAAATTGAAGGCTCTGCTCACACCATGTTGCCGATAATAATAATATTATTAATTCGAGATTGAATATATATCGCTTTATCACACAACCTAGTTAGTAGGTTGTCTCAAAGCGGTTCTCAAATTATTATCCTTGGTTATAGGGCCTTTGCAACCAGCCAACTTTCTCAACTCCCTGGGGAGTATACAGCCGGTGCAGCCATTTCGACGCTCACAGCTAGCATTCAACAATTCTAGCACTGCCCAACCACGTACTCATTTACTGATGTGTAGACAGGAACAAGCGGAGTAAAGTACTTTGCTCAAAGATACAACACAGTGCCGTGACGCAACTCGAACCCGCAACCCTTTGGTCACGAGCCAGGCTTCCTACCACTTGATTACCGTGCCTCCAAGTGGGAGAGTCTACACATTGATACCCAATATATACATGGAAAATGAGAGAGCCTACAAACTTATACCCAATATATACACGGTACATGAGAGAGCCCACAAACTTTTACCCAATATATACACGGTACATGAGAGAGCCCACATACTTATACCCAATATATACAAGGTACATGAGAGAGCCTACAAACTTATACCCAATATAAACACGGTACATGAGAGAGCCTACAAACGTATACCCTATATATACACGGTACATGAGAGAGCCTACAAACTTATACCCAATATATACCCGGTAAATGAGAGAGCCTACAACTGTATAAACAATATATACACGGTACATTAGAGAGCCCAAATACATATACCCAATATATACAAGTGCCGTGACCCAACTCGAACCCGCAACCCTTTGGTCACGAGCCAGGCTTCCTACCACTTGATTACCGTGCCTCCAATACTAGTTGAAGAGTCTGGAAACTGTTACAAAATCCTGTATACTAGTGATATCTTTCATACAAGATGAATAAATCGCAGACCAGCAAAACAGTCAAATTGATCATCTTTGAAATTTGGTGAAGCTCCTCTGTTTTTTCCCCAAATCTGACCCCAAAAACGTACGTTACCCGAGTGCGCACTATAACCGCAAATTTACGGTATCTCAAATTTACGGTATCAGCCTGGTGATTGACCTGCTTTTTATGTCTTAAACCAATCAAATGACTTTCCAAGAACCTTCCATTTTGTCTTGACAAGGGTGAGAAGATGTGTATATTCAAAGCAAAACTCTTTGATTTCAAAGACGGGAAACCTTTTCTGCATTAGTAAACTAACATGTGACCTTCAGCATCATACATTTGTTACTGAAATACATGAGCTAATGATTCCATTCCATGTATACCATACAAAAAACGTATGATTTCACTCCGGGTAATATGATATACACGTAAACGGCTGCAATTTGCAACTAGAAAAATCTTCTTGAATCTGAAATAAGTACCTGCAAAGGAACATAACTCTTTTGGCAACTCATCTATTGTACAACAGAAAAAACATCATACATGTTAATTACATTCAATGGAATAGGAAATATAACATATATTTCAAGAAAATAAAACACAAAATAAGTATGACATTATTAAATTGGAATCAATTCCATTGATGGGCATATAAATAAAGTAACAACAATTCTTCAAATTTTGTTCTGAAATTAAGTACCTGTGCTTTCTTTTCATTGTTTTTCTCAACAAAATTGTCAGGATGAAAAACTGAAAAATTATGTTCATAAAAAACAGCATATAATATATACACTGGATCTCATATAATAAAATTGACTGTTTGTTAGCTTATTTAGATTGTGTGGTATTTTAATTCACAAAATTTCATTTTAAGGGTCCCTGTTCCATCCCAGGAAAAACACTAGAGAGTTCCACTGTAGTTTTTCTGATCATGATTGGTCTCCCCTTAATGTGTTTTGGGTTATAACTGAAGTTCACCTATTTTGTTCATCATATACACTGTATATATATCTATGTAACTATATACCTGGTAGATTATACAAATTTTAACAAAAAGTAAACTCATTTCTATTTTGTAGATGCATCAGACACATAAAAACAACATTCAAATGTAAACATAATCTTTTAGAATTACAGAATATGATTCACTTCATTTACAACATCTAGATCACTTTATTTCAATTTACAACAAAAAAACATCAACAGTAAATATTTGACCCAGCAGAGTATATATCACAAAAAGAAAAGAAATTTGTATACAGTGTAGCACAGCACTGAAACACATACCTGTCCATTGATAAGCAAGTTTAATTACCTATCGGGTGACTTGTATATATTGACATTTGCACTGCAACCCACTATATGAACATTACCAGCAAAAATGCATTTCCTTTGAGTATGAAAGCAAAAAGTCTCGTGACGTAACACATGGTTTAGTTATGACGTCCATGATTGTCCAATTAGAGTCTTGTCGCTTCGCTTTATATAACATGGAGAATGCCCCTAGAACACCCCTGCGTCAAACGCTCAAATGACTACGGTTAATTATTGGTGCCAATTCTATTTAAATAGGGCTGTTCCGCCAATCCCGTTTAAAGGACAACGCATATACAAAACGCAGCAAATTAATTAATTAATTAAGAACAAATAAATAAAATTAAACAAATGTTTTAAAGTAAAAATGTAAATATATGGATTGAACAGCGTTTTAAAAAATTTCATGCCAGTATGAACATTTTAAAAATGCTGTTCAATCCCTATTTGAATACCTGTCAGGTAATATAACCTGTATTTACACATGTCTACCTGTAATTGACACCCCTTGACCTGCACAGATTGTAGTATATTTTGAAATCTCCTGAATTGCACTGTATATATATCCCAGCATCGAAATTGTTTAAAAATCCCCTTTTTAAAGCTATAAATCTTAAAATACCTCATACAAATGACCTACTGGTGAGAGTGTATCGAAGGCAAGTTTTAATAATATAAATGCCATACTAATGATTTAGATGGCCTTGAAAAGTTTACATACTGAAATGACCTTCAACTAGCAGGTTGACCAGCAGGTTGACCATCTATGACCCTCTTTTCATTGTTGAGAACTTGGGCAGGTAAGTCTTTGCCATATTGGACACATTGGATCTTATATATCAAAGATTTTTATGCAATAAAACTGAAAAATCAAAGGTTCTTTGTGTTAAGTATGAACAAAATGAAACACTCTTTTCCGCACCCAGCCTACAGTATATATACACAAAATATAATACAACTCAATACAGCTTCACAGTATATACAGTGTATTGTAATACTACACCACAGTCTGTAGAAATAGTGTATTGTAATACTACTACAGAGAGCTAACACTAAATACAGTGTATTGTACCTGGTAATACTGCACCACAGTCTGTAGAAATAGTGTATAATAATACAATTACAGATAGCTTAGACTAAATATAGTGTATTGTAATACTTCTACAGAGAGCTTACACTAAATATAGTGTATTGTAATACTACTACAGAGAGCTTACACTAAATATAGTGTATTGTAATACTACTACAGAGAGCTAACACTAAATACAGTGTATTGTACCTGGTAATACTGCACCACAGTCTGTAGAAATAGTGTATTATGATACAATTACAGATAGCTTACACTAAATATAGTGTATTGTAATACTACTACAGAGAGCTAACACTAAATACAGTGTATTATACCTGGTAATACTGCACCACAGTCTGTAGAAATAGTGTATAATAATACAATTACAGATAGCTTACACTAAATATAGTGTATTGTAATACTACTACAGAGAGCTAACACTAAATACAGTGTATTATACCTGGTAATACTGCACCACAGTCTGTAGAAATAGTGTATTATGATACAATTACAGATAGCTTACACTAAATATAGTGTATTGGAATACTTCTACAGAGAGCTTACACTAAATATAGTGTATTGTAATACTACTACAGAGAGCTAACACTAAATACAGTGTATTATACCTGGTAATACTGCACCACAGTCTGTAGAAATAGTGTATTATGATACAATTACAGATAGCTTACACTAAATATAGTGTATTGTAATACTACTACAGAGAGCTTACACTAAATATAGTGTATTGTAATACTACTACAGAGATCTTACACTAAATATAGTGTATTGTACCTGGTAATACTGCACCACAGTCTGTAGACATAGTGTATTATAATACAATTACAGATAGCTAACACTAAATATAGTGTATTGTAATACTTCTACAGAGAGCTTACACTAAACACATTGTATAGTGTATTATAATACTACTCGACCAAGCCTACAGTATATAATGTATTATAATAGTATCTGTAATATTTGCATTGCACTTTTCCTTATACATATTTATAATAACAGTCATACTAGTAACACAGTCTAAGTATATAGCTTTCTTTTGTACAGACACCAACCAAATCATCAGCAGTTCAAACAGTGGTTTATCATACAAATCAGTGGAAAGCAATAATCAAGCCTAAAATTAGCTGAACTGTGAGACAGCTGGATAACTGGGACAATTTTGTACAGAAAAAGTCTTATCAGTTCACTAAAACACTGGCTGGATAAAGGGACAACCTGATCTAAAACATTACAAAATCATCCCTGACCCACTCTATTTTGGGCATAACATGGAAGAGGAGGCAAGCATTATACAGTTAGGGAGGGGAGATAATCATATAGGGAGGGGAGATAATCATATAGGGAGGGAAGATAACCATATAAGGAGGGGAGATAATCATATAGGGAGGGGAGATAATCATATAGGGAGGGAAGATAATCATATAGGGAGGGGAGATAATCATATAGGGAGGGGAGATAATCATAGTCATCTCCTACACATCACATGTATGTGTTTGAAAGACACTATGGCAGTACAGGGCTGTTCTGTTGTTATTTAATTGCATATTTGCCAGCAGCTGATCTATCTTGCCTAGTGCATATATTGGTGAAAACGTTTGTGTACTAAAAAGGGTATAATGAAATATCAACATTATATTGAGGACGGTCACACCAGGAAACGAAAACAGGTTCTTCATGCATGCCTCCTTTCTTTGAACGAGCTTCTCCCCTCTCCCACCCCCCAAGCTCCCTTCCCCTACCTAATAGGCTTACTATATGTGAACATGAAGTATACACTGTATCCACAACACTGTTGCAAATAGAGGGAGAGAGTGACAAATATGTACCTCTGCCAATAGCTTCTAATTTATCTTTTCTCATCACTCTGATACTTTTTATGAAAGATAATTGTAAGTAATCCGAACAAGTTTTTACAGAGACACAGCAGTATTTCATTCAGATTGAAATGAAAAGGTACTCAAATATTTCCATCAGACTTAAAATTAATGTAATGTGTCGTTGTTATTTCGTACGTCTCAGCTACATTGTTTCGAAATACCAGAGAGAAAATGAATGGCTCTGTTTTCGTACAACAACACTGGTTCGTGCCGAATTGGATGGATGGCATCATTGATGATCGCGCGGGCTAGCACATCCACCGGCGTTGTGACAGCAGTAGGAAAAAAGTATGACATGGGTTTTAGAATTGTCCTGAAAAACGTCTCACTGGGGCGGCTTTCCCGTCTATCACAGAGCAGCAGACTGGAATAAAGAAAACTTCAGATATATTTTCCATAAGCTATTTACATGATATACAGTAACACCCCATTTACTCGAACTTGTGGGGCCCAGATCAATAGTTTGGGGAATACATGGTATTTGAGTAAAACGGTACACATGCTACTATTAAGCATATTCCCAATACCGATGGACTATAGACTTAGCCCGAGGCATTTTCACAGTGCAGATGTGATATTCAGGAAAATTATCTGTCGGATGTGACAGGTCACACCTGTTCGTCGAATAGATAGGATTAATACTATGACCATGAAGAGTCGAGGACAATTTTTTGTTCAAGGAATAAATACCGTGGTATTCGAGGAAAATTGGTTCTACTAATCCGTGGTTACTTTACAAAGAACTCAGTCGGGACCAAACGAACTGTTCGACGAATTAGGGGTATCGAGAAAACTGAGTTGGACGAAGTTTTTTTACTGGAGTAAAGGAGCCGTGTATCTTTATCCACAGAAAACCAAATGAGGTGTTATACATATAAACTGTTATACTATAAAAGGAAAACATTGGTCTATTATTGGGATGATAACAATACCAAGATATAAACTTTCCACTGAAATGTGTCATCCTACCCCAAAACAACCACAAGTCATCATTGCCTCACATTCTCAGGTTTAAATATAATATAAACTCTATTTATATTACAACAATTATCAAACAAGTTTTTACAACTTATATCAATCACTCTTGTTGGCCCAGATGTTAGCGCGTGGGAGGGGGGCCTTATTGTGGGAGGAAGCTGGAGTACTCGGAGAAAACCGACGTGGTCAGGCTGGTGACCCCAAACCTTTTTCACCTCCGATCGGGGAATCGAACCCTGGCCGCCTTGGTGATAGGCAAGTGCCCTATCCACTGCGCCATCGGACCACCCCCCTATGCTCAGGTTTGGTAAAGACTAAAAGCTTCAATTGATCACCTTACACTTGGGAGATATGAAATTCAGGCAGGTTTCCTGACCTGTAGTATGTGCTGATAACACTGTCAGAAAACCTATTTAACTATTATTGATATAATAGATTCAATACAATCACTTGATCGGAGAATTAACTTCTCTTATCTGAAGCCTCAAAACTACTAGAGTGAATTCTGTACCTAGTTCTGATTATGAGCAGCTTTTTTTCTCTTTTGGTTTGGTTTGTTTATGTTTTACGTCCTATTAACAGCTATGGTCATTTAAGGACGTGACAGGTTTTGGTGGTGGAGGAAAGTCGGAGTTCCCGGAGAAAAATCACTGACCTACAGCCAGTACCTTGCGACTGCCCTACGTAGGTCTCGAACTAGCGACCCAGTGGTGGAGGGCTAGTGGTAGCAGAATGGCTGACGCCTCAACCACTGGACTGCTGCGGCCCCTTTTTCTTTTTGTTAATTATGTAGAAATTACAAAGTTTCATTTTAAAGATTGTTAGATATTGTTTTTGATCATTCCTTGCTTTACCTTAACATATTTACAACAAAAATAAGTTTTTATAAAGTTTTAAGACTGGCTACCAGCCCCTAAGTTTTAATGAAGAATTTCTCAGCTGCATTTTACTACTAGCTTATCTCCCCCTAGTCTAGAATCAGACATCCAAGTGATCAACATTTTTTGAGTTCAACTTTTTTCTTAATAATTCAATATTCTAGAGACGGTGGCCAATCTAAAATGCTCAATACAGTGACTGTCTTGCTTGGCCTGCTGTTACTCCCGAGAGAGTCCAATGTTTCTGTAATCAGTACTTACCCTGGCCGGAAAATTGACAGCTGCTGAAAATGCATCACCTTAAGAGCTTCTTCCACCTGGCCCTGGTAATGATGAGAGTATCATGTCAATATTGTACTGTGTGATCAACATGTCACCTCAACTCATTCACCCCTGAAGACACATTTGAACTCTTCCAATTCAAAGGTTGGAATAGTTCATTATGAAAGGAAAGAGGTGAATGAGTTAAAAAGGATTTAATATACATCAGTTTGAAAATAAACAGCATTATATAATTGAACTATGTACAGGACTTGACCTTTTGACCTTCAGCGTAAAGTGATATATACCACTTGTACTTGGAAAGAGAAGGGAGCCATTTCTTATCTGTGTAAGTATACAAACCTTTGTTCTAGGGTAAAGAAGGGAGCTGCTTTTATCTGTGTAAGTATACAATACAAACCTTTGTTTGAGGGTACAGAAGGGAGCTGTTTTTATCTGTGTAAGTATACATACCGTTGTTCTAGGGTAGAGAAGGGAGCTGTTTTTATCTGTGTAGGTATACATACCGTTGTTCTAGGGTAGAGAAGAGAGCTGTTTTTACCTGTGTAGGTATACATACCGTTGTTCTAGGGTAGAGAAGGGAGCTGTTTTTATCTGTGTAGGTAAACATACCGTTGTTCTAGGGTAGAGAAGGAAGCTGTTTTTACCTGTGTAGGTATACATACCTTTGTTTGATGGTTCAGAAGGGAGCTGTTTTTATCTGTGTAGGTATACATACCTTTGTTTGAGGGTAGAGAAGGGAGCTGTTTTTACCTGTGTAGGTATACATACCTTTGTTTGAGGGTAGAGAAGGGAGCTGTTTTTATCTGTGTAATAATACATACCTTTGTTCTAGGGTAGAGAAGGGAGCTGCTTTTATCTGTGTAGGTATACATTCCTTTGTTTGAGGGTAGAGAAGGGAGCTGTTTTCATCTGTGTATGTATACATACCTTTGTTTGAGGGTAGAGAAGGGAGCTGTTTTCATCTGTGTAGGTATACATACCTTTGTTTGAGGGTAGAGAAGGGAGCTGTTTTTATCTGTGTAATAATACATACCTTTGTTTGAGGGTAGAGAAGAGAGCAGTTTTTATCTGTGTAGGTATACATACCTTTGTTTGATGGTAGAGAAGGGAGCTGTTTTTATCTTTGTAGGTATACATACCTTTGTTTGAGGGTACAGAAGAGAGCTGTTTTTATCTGTGTAGGAATACATACCTTTGTTTGAGGGTACAGAAGAGAGCTGTTTTTATCTGTGTAGGTATACATACCGTTGTTCTAGGGTAGAGAAGGGAGCTGTTTTTATCTGTGTAGGTAAACATTCCGTTGTTCTAGGGTAGAGAAGGAAGCTGTTTTTACCTGTGTAGGTATACATACCTTTGTTTGAGGGTCCAGAAGGGAGCTGTTTTTATCTGTGTAGGTATATATACCTTTGTTTGAGGGTACAGAAGGGAGCTGTTTTTATCTGTGTATGTATACATACCTTTGTTTGAGGGTACAGAAGGGAGCTGTTTTTATCAGTTTAGGTATACATACCTTTGTTTGAGGGTACAGAAGAGAGCTGTTTTTATCTGTGTAGGAATACATACCTTTGTTTGAGGGTACAGAAGAGAGCTGTTTTTATCTGTGTAGGAATACATACCTTTGTTTGAGGGTAGAGAAGGGAGCTGTTTTTATCTGTGTAATAATACATACCTTTGTTTGAGGGTAGAGAAGAGAGCAGTTTTTATCTGTGTAGGTATACATACCTTTGTTCTAGGGTAGAGAAGGGAGCTGCTTTTATCTGTGTAGGTATACATTCCTTTGTTTGAGGGTAGAGAAGGGAGCTGTTTTTATCTGTGTAGGTAAACATACCGTTGTTCTAGGGTAGAGAATGAAGCTGTTTTTACCTGTGTAGGTATACATACCGTTGTTCTAGGGTAGAGAAGGGAGCTGTTTTTATCTGTGTAATAATACATACCTTTGTTCTAGGGTAGAGAAGGGAGCTGCTTTTATCTGTGTAGGTATACATTCCTTTGTTTGAGGGTAGAGAAGGGAGCTGTTTTCATCTGTGTATGTATACATACCTTTGTTTGAGGGTACAGAAGGGAGCTGTTTTTATCTGTGTATGTATACATACCTTTGTTTGAGGGTACAGAAGAGACCTGTTTTTATCTGTGTAGGTATACATACCTTTGTTCTAGGGTAGAGAAGGGAGCTGCTTTTATCTGTGTAGGTATACATTCCTTTGTTTGAGGGTAGAGAAGGGAGCTGTTTTCATCTGTGTATGTATACATACCTTTGTTTGAGGGTAGAGAAGGGAGCTGTTTTCATCTATGTAGGTATACATACCTTTGTTTGAGGGTAGAGAAGAGAGCTGTTTTTACCTGTGTAGGTATACATACCTTTGTTTGATGGTTCAGAAGGGAGCTGTTTTTATCTGTTTAGGTATACATACCTTTGTTTGAGGGTAGAGAAGGGAGCTGTTTTCATCTATGTAGGTATACATACCTTTGTTTGAGGGTACAGAAGGGAGCTGTTTTTATCAGTTTAGGTATACATACCTTTGTTTGAGGGTAGAGAAGGGAGCTGTTTTTATCGGCCCCCTGGGATGACATCACCGAGTAATGTTTACATCCTGCTCCCTTGGCAATTTCTGCAGCTTTTATTACGTAATCATGGTCAACTTTCACAAAACCTCTCTGAAAAAAATAAAATAAAAATCTGTCGAAACACACTCCTTGTTTTCAGCTATATTAAAACTACTACTCAATTTTAGTATATATTTGTTGTAGTTGCGAGTATTCTAAATTGCAGTTGATCGATGATATTCATATTAAATCATTCACACTGTTAAAACATCTATCAAAGTTGATCAAATTTTACTACCAGTCTTCACAAATATATTTTACTGTCCACTTAATCATGATCACTCTCCTGCTTCATCTTTGGTGCCTTGAACCCTTTCACCCCTATGTAACTTTAGTAGACTCTACCGTGCATTGATCTGGATGAGTCCATTTTGGTCTACAGTGGTGAAAAGGTTAAAAAAACATCTACTCCATAAAATTCTAGAGACCATATATACCTTTATGTATTCTATTTAAACCACTCAGACACAAAAGAAACAAGAACTTCACAGATTTACATGAAATATTTTAATTAGCATCAACTGAGCAATTATCAATGGACCTTTTCTTATAGCTTGTTAAACCTTTCAAATGTGTCATCAGTCAAAACCCATAATCAAATAACAATTTAAAAAGTTATTTTTGGGTGAAAATCTTTCGAGGAGGAGGTATTATTCATAGAAAGGTACATGTATGTAAACTAAATGTGTCCGAGAACAGACAAAAATAAGGTACCGTAACACACCTTTCCAGATTTAGCTCTTGTTGTGCCCAAACAGCAGAATCCATATTTGACATTTCGAAACACGTCGGAATATGCCTCTAGATCATCGAAGTCCACCGTTACCTGTTCCTGCAAGTTGAAAGGAGTTTATACATCCATGACACATATTGATACACTTGGAATACTTATATTTGAAGGGTGTACATAACCATACATGTACAGTAAATCCAAATAAGCAATACTCTGCCATGGGACTGAAAAATTACTTTCTGATTTATGATGTATGTAAATATTGAAGATTTATGAGAAAACTCACCTGCATTACAAACACCGACAGATACACTTTTCACACTTCGTACTTTATACAAGTGAACCAATAGGTCACAAATAAGAACACAAGTATGGTTTTTAGTTTAGTATTGTTTAACATCCTATCAACAGCTATATATGGTCATTTAAGAATGGCCTCCCCTGTGTGCAAGATGCATGCATGTAGTGTATGTGTGTGTGTTGTGGAAGGCTGCGATATGTTCGTGTTTGTCTCCTTGTGATAGCGCGGAACTGATGTTGACTTTATAGTGCTACCTCACTGAAACATATTGCTGAAGACACCCAGCAGGACACCCCATCCGGTCACATGATACATGTACTGACAACGGGGGAACCACTCGTCCCACTCCTAAATTGCTGAGCGTTAAGCAGGAGTAGAAACCAACGTTTTCACAGACTCTGGTATGTCTCGTCCAGGGAAAGAACCCAAAGCCTTCCTCACAGGGGCGAACGCTCGACTAAAAGGCCAAAAGTGAGGCATTGTCAAGGGAGACATTAGGAAGAAGAAAGATAAGATTCCAAATTTGGTCGCCTCTTACGATCATGCAATGGGGTCAGCAGGTACAATTCTTCACAAGTAAGGTCCAGCTGACAATGAAGCAGCAGAACACTTATCAGTCCAACAGTGCTGATTCTAGGATTTGTCCAATGGGGGGCCTTGGGCCCCTTCAGTATGAAATGGGGGTGCTGCTGCCAAAGGCAGCAGCTGAGGAGCGAAGTGACAAGGCAGGGGAGGGCTCGACATCGTCTGCTCCAGTTTCACTGTTTGGTTCGCCTGTTTCGGTTTCAGATTCGTCGGTAACCTCTCTCTCATCCCTGTCTAAATGGTGGCGGTTTGCCGTGAAACTAAACTCAAACAGCGTTCTTTTCCTATTCATTTAGAAGCTGTACATTCACCTTAGACCTCGTGTAGGTCCAGTACGAGGTCGCCGCACGTGCGAGAATGTTTATTTTAAGAGCCCCATTCTGATTGGCGTAGCTTTAATAAATCAGCCAATGAAAACTGTCATTTCAAAAGACGTTTCGGTCTCTTGCACAACATGGCCGACTTTGTTATCGTACAACGATTGAACCGCGAAAGAAATAAATGAACGCAAAGGATTGTCTGAAAGGGGGGATTTATCAAAGAGTTGCGGCATTAGGCCCGCACTGAGGTTTGATTTATGCGGGGTTCTTTATATTTTTGCGGGAATTCCGCGATCCCGTGCCCTAGAAGCAACACTGGTCCAATACATGTGGCACATGTGTGGCATAACAAATCTAATGCAAAGTCCTTGTGAAGATACTTACGAATTCTGGACCGAGGTGGACGGGAAGTTTGACATAGCGCCTGCCTATGAGGTAGACCTTGCTGAATGCCTTTAGCAGCGCCATGTCTCGTATTAGTTCTCTGCCCACCTCTCCTGTGTATCCAAGCACAAATGCCTCATTTTTCTCTCCTCTGAACACTTCCAGGTTTTCCTCAGAGGCCTGGGACATTCTGGAAAATATTTTAAAAATATCATAATTCTTATTCATGAATCATATAATATTATTTTGAAATCTGTTTTCTTACTTGTTGGGTGATTTATTGAGACAAATCAGTAGTTTTATTTGTCACTAGCTATATAATCTGCAGTGTTGAAAGTCTTAATTTGCAGACATCAAAATGTGCTTTTAGAAATGTTTCTAATAGTGTCAGATACATAAAACAAGTTCCGCTAGCGATCCATACTTCCCAACCTATGGACATACTTACAAGTAAATTATTTAAAAATTGCAATGGCCATAACTCTGTAAATAGTCGGCACACGACCCGATATCATTATGCAACATTCTGCCATCAAAGTGGTAATCACATAAAAAAATTGGCAGGTGACAGAGTTAGATATATGTCCTGGACAAAGTTAGTCATGATGAATAAAGGCCTGTAACTACGTATATACTTTAGTATCTCACGTGCACACTCTGTCATCCCTGGAGGTACTCACATACAACAATTGGCAATTTTAACCGTTTCACCCCTATGTAACTTTAGTAAATTCTACCATGCATTGATCTGGATGAGTCCATTATATATATATTATGGTCCATAGTGGTGAAATGGTTAACAATATATATATATATAGGTGACAGAACATACAATATATTCCATTGAAAAAATGCAGTTTATATTGCTACTAGCTATTCTAACCTGATGTGGTATTACATGAATTGATATCTTGATTTATTGCCATACATTTGTTAATATAATATGAACTGTTTTCCAAGACTCTGTAACATATGTAGGCAATACAGACCTTATCAAGTAAAAAAGGATTACCATCTTGTATTCTCTATCACTTTTTTCTCCCTAAATACGAAAAGATCTTTTCAAAATCAACAGCACCAGAATGCCAACTTTTTTTCAGACAGTGATCATGATTAATGAAAATTAATGCTGTTAATCTAATAGCAGGATCCTATGACAGGATCTTCTCATACCTTGTTTACCGAGCAGTTTTGAGAGGTCTGAGTTTCATTAGACTGAGTTTAGTGCAGACTGACTAAGCCAGGTGACTACTTAACAGAATAGATTAACGGGTTAGTGTACATCTGATGAGAGATCTGATACCTCAGATTATAATCTGGACTGGCTTTATGATCACTGTATTTTCCCTCTCCTGTAACGGTATACATTGGTTGACAATAATATTGTCTGAGAATGAAGACTTGAAAAAAGATGTTGTGTGAAGGGGGCTGGGCAAGTGACTACCGATGACCAGATAGCTCATTTGGTGAGACCAGTCTGGATGGATCATTTCAATGGCAAAATTGATAGGTTTACCTAGCTGTGTGGTGTTTATTTGAATGTTTATAGAGCACTGTCGAAGTTCTAATCGTCTTCTTTATGGTACATGGGCTCCATCAATGGTGATGTTTATGCCCTCGGGGGTCCTGTCACAGTGGCGTGAAAAAGGGGGGTTATTTACAATGATTATTTGTTGTTTTTTGTGATTTTTTGTGCAAGGTATAGACAAAAGCTGGCGTATGTCTTAGCGGGTGATTAGGTGGGTTTTTTTGTGTGCAAGGTATAGATAAAAGGTGGCGTATGTTTTAGCGTGTGATGAGGGCTTCAAGGGCTGCATAGGGTAAGCGTGCCTTGAAGTCCTCTAGTGTTGTGCATCGTACTGCTGCTATGGGAAGGAGAGTCCATTGCGTTATTATGTGTGGAAAGAATGAATATTGGAAGGTGTCCTTTGTTGCAGATATATGTTTGTATGCGCGAGGGTGTGCATGTCTGGTTCGGGGGTCTACGGGTGTGAGTATGTATGTTGGGTTTATAGCTACGATTTGGTGTACAATTTATGAATTGAACAAAGTCTTTTAGTTACGTCAGTAAGTTGAATGATGAAAACAAAACACCAGGGCCGTTTTCGTTTAAACGGTAAAACCGGTCGGACCACTGCCATTCGTTTATAATTAAATAAGGTCGGACCTAGTAATCTGATGCTGCTTTCAGGCGAGCCTTGACAAAGCCTGCATATATCCGAAATTGTTACATTTATAAACGGTCAAACCGGTTGTTCCGCATAAACGAACAGGGCCCTGAACGTCAGCATTAACCTACCAGCTGACTAGGGACAGGTCATGTATAATTAATGAGGGTAATATGAGTTTTGCCTGTTTTTGACCCCTAAATTACCTGCAAATTATATGGAGATCTGGAACAGGTACAATTTCGTATAGAAACAGACAAAAACTTAATGCAACCCCTAGAAATCCAACACCTATTGCAGTTCCAGGTATAATTTCATTACACTTGAACCACAACATTTTAGGTAGGTCACTTCCGTGCGTTCTACGTCACAGGTTCTGTCGAGGATATAGCAGTGCGTTCGATTGGAAATATATTGATTCTTTGTGCAGGACGTTTTCTCCGCGCCAAAATACAAAACCCTGGTAAAAAAAAAGTTGTTCGTTAGAGCTTTTCAAGAAAAAGATCGTAAAAATAATTATTAATGTTTGATTGTGTGTGAAATTAATTTAAACTTTTGTATTATATTTTAAGTTCCAGATGTTAAAATCTTAATTTTTAGATTTTGAAGACGTTTTCTTTATTTTCACAAATTTTGACATAACTAGTCTAATCAGAACTGAATGAAAAATTATGAATTTTTAAAAGATTTGTTTTTGTTTTTTTGTAAGCATTGGAATCCTGCAACTGATGCACTACCCATGGGCCATTTATAAACCAAGTTTGTGCCTCCCTTGTAAAACAATAAAACTGACCAGGTTGCCCGTTGAGTGCTAAAAGGACCGAGTAGGTGCTTAGGTCGTCCAAATGAGGTACATATGGTGTTCAGACATCGCCATGAACGCCGTGGTCGCTGTAATTTATTTTTTGAACATGTTCAAAACAGTTGCACAAAGGTCACCGATGAGGTTGGTTGCTCAAATCACAATGACCTGAGAACTCGTTACAGCTTTATTTAGACCTAAACTAAGGTGTTCAGAGTAATTTTACATGTTTTAGGGATTTAGAGCGACTTACGATAAAAGTGACACCACCAATAGCGATCCTATAAAAATGACGCACCAATGATCATGTATACGAGATTATTGGGGGTGTCATTTTTACTGAAAATCGATCTAAACCCCTAAACCATATAAAATTACTCTGAACACCTTAGTTTAAGTCCAAATAAAGCTGTAACAAATTATCAGGTCCCTGTGGCTCAAAGGTGGCCTAAGTGAGGCAGAATGGAGGCACAGGCATCGCCGTTGTTACAGAATGGAAGCACAATGATCGGTCGTCACGTAATAGAATTCTTCATGTATGCGTTCTGTTGCAAATTTTACCGTCAATCTGGGTGATGTTTCTGCCTCCCGTGTGCCTTCTTGGTCGCCAATGATGGCATAGAGAAGGCACAGATGAGGCTCAATGGTTGCCCAAACACTGAATGTAGCTTTTAATCGCGTTGGTTGCCATAGGTTGCATAAGGGGAGACAGGAAAGTGACTCAGTGGACGCTCAGGTCGCTCGTAGCTCGACATGAAAATGTTCGACAATTGTAGTTTTAGGATCGCTTGTGTATTAATACCCATGGAGCTGCACATTCGGAGGAAAAAACCCGAACATGGAATAAGATGTAAGATGTTCTATTTTTGCAACTTCCGTCGCAGGCGAGACAAAATCTAAATAAATAAATAATATAAACGACGTTAATGAATTTGAGACACAGAATTAACAAAGTTGAACAAACCCTCATCTAATATTTTACGAAAGAGATTGTGGCTGTATTGAAAAATATCATCGTGTTGAGTTGGAGACTTTTGAAATTTCTTTTGAAACTTGTTAGCTTATTCCAATCTGTTTCCTCTGTAGTGGACCCCGTTATCGCACAATGTTATCACAGAATCGAAAATTCTAAGTAAGCATATTTTCTTAACTGCAGTATTTTGGTTCAAACGCTGAGGTTGATGATAACAACGAAGAAGATCCAACAATTCCGTATAGGAGAGAGCACAGAATAGCATTATATGGAGTTTAGAAGTATCTTCACATTTTGGAAAAATTGTGATGAAATAAGTCATATGTGGGCAAGAATTTACTATTAGTATTTGAGAAAAGAGTGTAGCATTGAAAAAAAAGAAAAAAAAAGTTTTTTTCTAAATGAAGTAAAATGATTGAAATAAAATTAACGTTGGTCTTGAAAGACGGGTATTCAATGAATTTGACGCATGTAACATGGACAGCGCATCCAAAAATAATTTATGCTTTTTCTATTAGGAATGAAAGAAAATCTTTTATTGAACAATACCATTATGTTACCAAATATCTTGTATACAAGTTATATTGAAACATTTGAATTCCATTTCTTCAATAATATTTTTTTTTTCTGCTTTGATATTATTTTTTTACATGCAACTCAATACATTGCAACTCTTGCCTCAAATGGAATGTATATGCTACTGTTGGGTAAAATATGGAAGAAACTTACAATAGAAGAAATCGAAGAATCATTGGAGATATCCAACCATCTCACAATAAATGCTATGACCTATGGGCAATACTGACAGAAACATGACTATATGTTTCTTCATGATATTAGCAGAAATATTTCTTCATTGGGTTTTTAATCGTAGGAAACAGAGCAGTTGCTGGTTACACATTCTGAAAGAGGCAGAGATAAGAGAGAGTGGGGGATNGGGGGTTGGGGGTGGGGATATGAGGGTCGATCCCTGGGGGAGAGATCTGGAAGAGAAAGAGATAAGTGTGGGGTAGGGGTGAGGATAGATCTATCTTTCATGACTTATAATAACCTATAATATATGACCTAAATAATAACGAGCCAAGCAAGTCACACAACCTGAAAACGTTCTATAAGGAAATACAGGAGGTGAACCAACCCTCTTAGGCTTAAGGCTCTATATATCATATTCCAAAATAGAATCACTAACCATCTGACCTTGCAAATACTATTAATTTAACGTGGGCAGCGCCCACTGGACAAATAAGGAAATACCCGAAGTATTAAGATTTTTTTACCGTTTTACTTAGAACCACAGAAAAAAGTTTAATTGTGTGCTGGCAAACGTTGAAAAACACTTACCCGTTCTCGACTTATTTTAAAACATTAAAATTCTTGTAAAAGTACGTTGCCTTTTTTTGTGACGGAAGGTCTTTTAAAAGAAAGTGTAAGCCTAGCTGGTTTTAAACTATATATTTTAGTCCGATAATTGAAGCCATATATTTTATATAGAAAGACAGTTTCGAGAGTTATACAATTGAGATTTTTAGATATTGAAATGTTCAAAATTTAAACGAGAAAGGTCTAATCTTCAGTATGACAAGCGCAAAATTAGTCAATTTGTGAAATATTTCATTTCCCCTTTAGTATATGTCGTATTTTAATTGTGCTGAAACTGCTACACTGTACGTTAGGCAAAAGTCCGTGGCATAACGTAATATGCACGTGCTATGCTAATTACACGTCACAGTGTACATATTTGGTATTGATATTTTAAGCATGTGTTATTATACTAAATGCAAACAGAGACGTTTAATACACGTCTCTGATGCAACGAGAGAAAAAACATGCTGATTATGTGTCAAGGTGCAGACGACGTACATAGTTAACATACGCAAGCGCTAAGCTTATATTGATCAAAACTATAATGCAATGACTGGACAGTTGTATGGCACATTGTAAAAAGACAGCACACTTAGGTCCGGTAGACCCGTTCGGATTTTTTTTTATTGTACAGGTAGCCAATGAATTCACAGACTCCACTTCCTGGTTGATTTCAAAGGAGTTTTTGACACCGCGGACTGAAGAATGTAGCGTATCGAACGAGCCCGAGCTAAAATTCGTCCGCCAACAGGTGCGCGTTTTAATTGTAGATACTATTTCTGTGTTAAGTGATTTGTTTACGAAACACCACATATTTTCAATTCATATTTGTGTTGCCATTTTGAAATATATTTGTTACTTTACTTGACTATTTTATTTATTTTGCATCCAATATGGTACTACATTATGCGGAATGATTTTTGCTCAATTGTGACACGTGTTACATCCGGTACCGGTGGGTTGGTCTCACAAGTTTGTATACTTGCGTCGTCTGCAGTCACGTTTCTGTTGGATTTGTGGTCCTTAGGATCTCCACATAGTATATATCTGGTAAGATTTTCGTTATATACACTGTTCAATGTTTTGATGTGTCATAAAATATTTGCTTTCTTTTGGGGCCGATTACCATGTTTCTGGAAGCACCCTGTACCGTTTCTGACAGTTCGTTAGTTGTTGTAAACAGAAAAAGTTCACAACACGTTGCCCTGTATTTTCGGTCTACGATTTAGGTATATACAGTTTGATGAAGAATAAATATTACTGATATGTAATATTACAAGAATGGGGAAATCGACAAGCCTTGGTATTCTGCTCTGTTGCCATTTGACACACTGTCGCCTTAAGCTGTTAAGCTGTTCAACTTCGGTACACTACCGACATGCATGGCTTACTTTAAAGGTAACATGTCAGCAATAGCAGAATGTCATTATAAATTAGGTCATTAGACAACTGTCAATATTGAACAGGTCACTTGAGTCACATTTCTGAAAATCAAACCTGACAGTCATAATTGTATTATATCATGACATGCATGCAGGCTGACATGTCATTTATCAAGAATTAATTACACTGTATTTAGTATCTCATTGACTATTTGTACATGCTACTGCAGTACTTGTAAAACATGTTATACTGATCTTGGTTATTTTTTCTTGTTATAACACATTAACCCCTTCACCAGCGTAGACCATAATGAATTCATCCCCATAAATGCATGGTAGAGTCTACTAAAGTTACCTAGGGGTGAGAGGGTTAAGTGACATGCACGTTGTCATATCATCCATCAATTTCTTTCAAGGCCAAAATCACTGAGAAAAAATGGTGGCAGAGTAGTATTAGTATGAAATCAAAATATCATTGTCTTGTCCTTTAGTTAAAATAATGTAAGTTGTATGTTGTTTTAATTTGTTGATTTTTCAAATGTTTGTTACTTCACCAAAGTGTTTTCACTCTTCAGTGCTCTCTTGCTTAGCAAATATTTATTGTCATGCATCATTATGATTGCTAAGGTATGAATTTCTCTTTCTTTTGTTTCAGAGACCTATTCAGAATAAAAATGGATTTGGATTCTTTGAAATCAGAGCTGGAATGTCATGGTCAAAGCCAGCTGCTGCAATATTGGGAAACATTGGATAATGATAGTAAAGAAAAATTATACAAAGAATTAAAACATTTAGAATATTCCAATATCAATGAATACTTCAAACAGGCTATGGCAGACTTGGAACATGCCTCTGATAAAATTGACAATCTTCTAGAACCACTGCCAGCAGAGGTCTGTGGAAGTATGACCAGGAGCAGTCCTGAAGAGTTGAAAGAGTACAACAGATTAGGTGAGAATTTAAGAAGGGTTATATGTAAGAGATGTGCATTGATTAGGTTGCCTTACAAGCCTAAGCTGTAGGGAATTTCCCTTTAGCTCAGCAGTAGAGTAAGGCACTATCTTTATCACTATTCCTCATCCTACTGTATATACACTGAAATACTACAAATGTTAATCTGTCTGAAAAAACCCATAAAAACATGTAATAGATAATGTAATACTCACTTTATTTGTCCCCTGGCTTATTGTTATAGCAACATTTGCCAGGTCTTTTTTCAATAATGATTTCTTAGTTTACCTATGTATGTCCTTCAATGTTTTGCTAAACCACAGTATGATGCTAATATCAATGTTTGTCTTTCGTCATCCTGTCTGTATATGACATCTTGGATCATCTTTGCATTTGGATTCCATGTAATTTATTGAGCTCTTTTAATAATTGATAATGGGTTCCCCTCAATAATTATGGCTAAATTTTAACACTCTTTTAAAAGAAAAACTATAAAAGGTCATCTTGACAAGCTCATTTTAATCACTATCATTTCGCGATTTTCCCCCCGTTTAAAAATAAAACCATGGTTAAGTTCTTCCATTCTTAAAGTTCGTTAAAATATGAAGCTTTGACTACGAGTATATTGCATGGTTTAATTGTAAAATGATTGTAGGGATGCCCCATTTCCTATTTCTTTCTAACTGAATAGAACGTTATTTAATTCATCAACAGCAGCTTTAATTTTAATGTGTTTGCTGTCGACACATTTGAATAAGTAGTCAATAAGAAATGAAGACAGCAATGATGTCAAGTGTTGTCTGTAGTAGATGAGAGTGATACCTGTTGACCTAAGTCACGTATCAATATTTGTTTTACTTGGTCTACTCCCATTGACGTAGTTTACGAGCAATCTAACCTCATAAAATACCTGTACTCCTTTCCTCAGTTGCTGGGCTGGACAGGGGTAATCCCACAGATTTGGTTCATTGTACTGTGTAGGTGGGAAAGTCAAATAAACTTTCATCCATAAATATATGTGTACAGGTACAGGCTATATCCAGTGGCTTACTGAATTCTATTTGTAAGTAAGGTGACTCAAGAAATGCATTTCACTTGAGCTTCTGTGTGACGATTTTAGAAAAATAAAATACATAAAAAAACTATTAAGACGATATTTAAAAATATATCTGCTTGACATTTTCCTACTGTATTAGGACTACTTTTTTTGTTGTGGTGACTTTTTTCGCAATGTTGCACCTATACGAAATAACATATTTTTTTTAGCATTGCCTTATGCTTACCTGGTACTTCCTTTGACTTTTTATGGCTTTTCAATCAACAAATAGTTTGTGGAAAGTAAAAGCACACTGATAATGTTCAGACAAGGAATAGAAAAAAATAGAACACTCACAAAATATCAATCATATACAGCATATAGTTCTAAACTCTTTAGTATTTGGTTATTTCCTTGAGGAAAACAATAATAAAAATTATGGATTGCTATTTGAAAAGCAAGAACAAATGTGTCGGAAGGAATTTTTGTTTCGTATAAAAATTGTCTGTACTTTGTAAGTAGACAAGACAGTGATGTTTAACAGCTTTTTTCTGGGTCTTATGGCAAGTTTGTCAGAAATATAGGTATCTATGGGTATCTATATATATTGAGCAAGGGAGTAATTCTTACAGTGTAGACAATAGGATTTTGTGAAATTTTCGGAGTAATGCACTCCTTTATCGAGACAAACAAAATAAACCAAAACAAGTACATTACATATAAACAATATCAGAAATATAATAGGATATAGCCAATATTTTGAAAATAATAAGCCCCTCGGCTAACGTAAGCCGAAGGCAGATTTTACATCAACCCCATCGATGACCACTGATACTGTGTGTGCGTATGGGTATCTGTATACTGTAAAATCATAAATTTTCGTGGGACATTAAATTTTGTTTATTTCGTGGATAGCAAAATTCCACGAAATTAAATCCCCACGAAAACATAAATTTGGTATGATATAGATGGGGGAAATCAGAAATCAGCGAAGTATAATGTCCATGAAACAGTCTAGTATATGAAAACCACGAAATTTCAACCCCACGAAAATAAATGGTTCTACAGTATATATCTACAATTGTAAAGTTCAGTATACAGTCCCAGAACATCTACCAGGAAGTAATTTTGCTTCCTAATACCACCGTCACTACTGTTTATCAAACCCTCTGTCAGTCATATACATGTATTAACTGCTGTGCAACCTGGCAGATAACCTGCTGATAATTTAAACCTTGATCTGACAGCCGATCAGTCAGTGAAATATTTTTGGCAGAAAAAAACTATTTGTAAAGATATGTCACGGTAATACTTACCTATCAGCTACAGATAGTGCCGAGTTTGCCCTAACATATCTTGATCAACATTACGATACAGTGTGTATGTGGCCATTAACAAGTTCACCCCTGATGACACAATTGAACCCTTCCAATTCAGAGGTTGGAATAGTTCATTATGAAATTTCAGGGGTGAATGAGTTAACAAATTCAGCAATCTACCTCATAACACATTTTAAGTTATTTTACATAAAACATGATCTAAGATATTCAAGGTATTGTTGTCAGATATACTCCTATATATATATACATCCATTAACTCATTCACCCCTGAAATTTCATAATGAACTATTCCAACCTTTGAATTTGAAGAGTTCAAATGTGGCTTCAGGGGTAAATGAGTTAACCATGATAGTAGAAGATAGACATTTAAGTTTGGGAAATCATGATGAATGTTGCACATTAGAACAATTTCTGATGATCGGTATGATTGCTAACAACCCCAAATTCTGGGTCTGACCCATAGGATGTGAGAGACAGGTTGGTGTTTTTACAATGTCAGTATGATTAGAGCCAAACCCTGTTGTATAAAGTCTCATTTCAATGATATCAATATCAGTTCATTCTTAACTACAGGTTCTAACACTGTGTATAATGATATTATTTGGGGAAAACATGGTTAGAAAATTAATGTGGGTGTCTGAAAACTTTGTAAAGCAATTTGGATCAATGTCAGTATTATACAGTGTTTTTGTTACCTAAATTTTACAACAGCCTATTTCTTTATGAATTTGGGAAAATAAAGCATTATTTGTATTGAAATTGGCAATATTTTCCTTAGTTTTGGTTCATTTTGGGTAAATAAGGTACATGTACTGTTTAGCGAGGGGAAACAGCCTGTATTCGGCAGTAAAACTCAGCAAAAAAAAATCACTGTTATATGTATCCTAAATGGGGAAGTTTAAAATTAAATTGTCTTTTTTCATGGTTTCAAAGGAAGAATTAAAAATAAAGTGGTCTCCTTTTGATATTGTATCGCTTCAAAAGGTAATTGCATTGTGAATGCAAGATCTAACATGTGGGTGATTGTGTACCAGGTATCTGCCTAGAGGTTATAAAATATTCAACACCAGACTGGATCAGCCCTGTACCCTGTATCCTGTTAGTCTCTCATCCTATGTAGGGCACCGATCGACACTGCTTTTGTCTGACGGGTGGATAGCAGATATATATATTTTGTATTGTGACTTTGTAAATAGAGACTGGTATTTTGGTTTTGTACAATTGTATAATTTGATACAGTTAACTTAAGTCTGTTATGATGAACACGACCTGTATTTACCTGTGAGGAATGTGACTGCTGTAGAAATAGAGGGCTAATTATAGATTGACTGCAGTATGAATGGGATTCATGAAACTAAATGATTAAAAAGAATTTCTGCTTAAAATGGAAAGGGAATGCCATCAATACAAGCCCTCATCATCAACAGTACACAGTGTTTGGTCAGTTGCTTGTTGTGGCAAATAACTATTGGGATTGAGATATAAATTAATGGGTCAAATTATAAAAATAAATAAATACCACAGGGCCTAAAGTTGAGGTGTTTGTTCTGTAACTTGCTGGGATAAAGGGCTATCAGCTGGTTTGTACTCATAAATGACCTTGACCCACATTCAAGGTTACAAGAATGTGGTATGTTAGAAAACAAGTGAATGATAAATCATGAAAAGCTTCACTGGGGTTCGTATGTATCTTAGTTTTATAAATAAAATGTCTCCTTTCCACCAACCTTAAAATAGCACAGGACAATGACTTTATATATGATAACTGGCTAGGATTGTTTGACAGTAAATAAAAAAGTCTTTAATGTCAAAACAATTAACTTCCAGGCTCAAACTCACTTTGGTGTAGAGGAATTTAAGATCCATGGCTAACAGTATTTTTAACAGACTGAATTGTACTCTAGATCAATTGACAATAATTCATGAATTGACCTTTCAGAATGACCTTTTCTTCTAAACTAATAAAAGGTAATTTCTATATGTTTGGCTGATACTGTATACAATGTATATGGTTCTTGCATCATTGCTAAGTTTCATTTCGTTTCTATTTTTCAATGCCGTAATTTTATCTGGAGGACTTATTTCTCGTTAGTTTTGCATGTGTCTATTTTGAAACAATTCAAACCTTATAATTCCTTTTTGTCATTTTCAAGGAACTTTTGAATAATTTTCCAATAATGTTACACAGACTCTTTCCTGAGCTCTTCATTTTTCTTTCATTTCTATCCATTATTAAAGTCACTCACTTCTGTTTCTGGTAATGTTTCTTCGAAGTGTCTTGGAGTACCTGCGATTTTGGTCCGAGCTGATTATATTTATTACCATTTACTACAAAGAGAAGTCTACAAGAAAGACTTGCGTAGATTTAGACTATTTTTGAAAGGCTGTAGTGTAACAGTCTACCATAATGTTGAACACTACGCTAAGTGGACACGTTTGAAGTTCTTCATGTATAAGTGATAGCCAGATGACACAGTAGCGGTGACACTGTGGTTACAACATCTGTGAAGTAATTATCACAGAATTCCTGTATTGCTGGGAGTTTTTAGTTAGTGCAGCCAAACAAACTACCTGTACATGTAAGTAAGTTCCTCCCTCTCCCGTATCTGGTCAGGTAGACACAGTGCCAGGTATCTGGGGCGCGCTCTTTATCTGTTCCAAATGGTTACGACCAGAGAGGTTTGGTTGATTAAATAAAGACAACAGTGTTTGATGATGTTTGAGAGGCTAACATTAATCTTTACAGGCACTTGTATTACATACCTGCTACATGCATCTGAAGGGGCAGACAAAAAAGGTTTATTTGTACAAAATGAAAAATACCTGTCGTCAGTCTCGTATCATTTGTGAGGACATTAATAAGTGTTTCACTTAACTACCCTTGTATGTTTTATGTTACAATTGTTTGTATGATAATTTGATTCATAATAAATGCTTACACAAAACGTTATATATATATACCCTATCATAATGGCATGGTAGAACCTATTGCTGTCATTCAAAATGAATGGCAGCAATGCTGGTCTCTCGAGACCACCAACAAACTTTTTAAGATACAACCAAAACTTAAAACATCTATTCCCAGTCGGAAAGATCGTAGAGAGGAAGTTGTCCTCGCTCGGCTCTGTACTGGACACAGATATCCTACTCATTCGTACCTTTTAAAACGAGAAGATCTACCTTTATGCCACGCATGTGACACTCCATTTATAGTGGAACATTTTTTAATAAAATGTTCTGATTTTAAACACATTCATGATAACTACTTTCGAGTCCCGGATATGAAAACTCTTTTCAGTTCCGTGGACTCGAAGGCATGATTCAACTATTTGAAAGACATCGGTCTATTTTATAGACTCTGATGTCTTTTAACCCACCTTACCCTTTTTGACGTTTTATATATATCACATATTCCATATCATCTATTCGTTATCTCTTTTATTATTTTGACCCCTTTTTTTATTTTTTATTATCTACACATACAATGTGAATGCTTTTAAAATAAACCATTTTATCTGATTTTATCTTCGCTACTCACATGTTTGATAAAAAAATAAGATAAATAAATAAATCACCATGGCCCTAAATGACCACAGCCGCCGATTGGCCGTTAAGCATAACAAACAAACAAACAAACAAACCTAAGCTCAAAGGGCCGCGATGGCCATGTGGTTAAGGTGTCTGACATTCTGCTACCACTAAGCCCTCCACCACTGGCTCCAGGCCTATGTGGGGCAGGTACTGGCCGTAGGTCAGTGGTTTTTCACCGGGTACTCCATCTTTCCTCCACCACCAAAACCTGGCACGTCCTTAAATGACCATAGCTGTTAACAGGACCTTAAACACAAACAAACAAAACCAAAATAAATAAATCCATATGGACGCAATATAACATCAATTTTGAATCCGTCACAAGCATGAAGTCAGAGCTTAATTTTTCATAACATTATATACCCTATCATAATGGCATTAGAAAAACTAAGCTCAAACTCAGCTTAAGCCATGAGACTCCTGAGTGTTTGTGATATCTGAGTGTGTGTAAGTGTTGTTCAGGTAATCTCAATGTGTCTTATAGCAATCTCTACCACCACTGCTGAAAGATATACTACTGTTTATATATAGCCTGTACATGACCGTTAATCAATGATTTTGATAAATTTATCATCCTTTACTTTATATTTTGGCCAGACTACTGAGATTTTAGTTTAGTTTATGATATAGCATTTCTTTGACTTCTAACACTTATTTACTGTAGACTTGTGTAGAGACAGTTATAAGAATTATTATATGTAAATTTAGGACTTGTCAGTCCAAGTCTTATCAGTGTAAATGAAGTAAATAAACTGAAAGTTTGATATAAAATATTAAGAATTGATAACTATATTTGTATTATAATCTTATGTTATAATATACATCAGATAGGTCGAAAATCGTCAATGTCACTGAATAAAATTATTTTTCTGTTATGTTCCTAATTGAAGGAAACAGCACTAATTGTTTTACATGCATATCAATAAAAATTTTGTGAAATATTTTATATCTACCACAGTCACAGGTACATGTATATCTTGTCCTGTTGATCAAATCAATTTTATGTCGTGTGTGTGAACTATAATATTGATTTCTGTGTAATTGTACAACAGATTGTGGTATGTAACATATTGCTGTTATAATGTATTACAATCTGATCCAATCTTGCCTGAGGACTCCTTCGACTTAAACTTGTGACAATTCAACATGGCAGATTTCTCAACTCTTTCTGAGTCCAGTTCGACTGGCATGATATTATTAACTCATTCACCCCTACAATTACATAATGAACTATTCCAACCTTTGAATTGGAAGAGTTCAAACGTGTCTTCAGGGGTGAATGAGTTCATGGTCCAAACTTGGTTCTTTCACTGACTGGTCCTTTTGCAATTGATCTGCCAATATTGGCCAGCAATTCAGCAATAGTTACTATTAAGGCACATGTAACATTTTCTATTTTTTTTTGTGGTAAGTTCAAAGGAAAACATTAAGCGTTGGCCAGGGTCAAAGGTCAATATTTGCTATGATCATGTTAAAATTGTTTTTGTTTCATATGACCCAAGGGTAAGAAATTTAGCTATTAGGTAGCTGTGATGGAGTGCTACATGGATGAACATCTTTGTATTAATGACCTTGACCTACTTCAAAGGTCATAGGGACATTATGTTGGCATAAAGAAACTAAAACAATATTAGTCAGGTTGTCGGAATACTCAGGGGTCAGATCATACAGGTGTCACTGGACTTGATTTCCTTTCTCATGTTGCCTTCTTCCAATATCAGCTGCTTTACCTTTTATCCCCCCAAAATCAAAAATGAGGAGACGCTATGTATGTTTAACCCTTTCATCACTGTAGACCATAATGGATTCATCCAGATTAATGCATGGTAGAGTCTACTTAAGTTACATAGGGGTAAAAGGGTTAGAAGAGTAGATACACTAAAGGCCTCACCAGAATGCTAATCATTTGACCTGTTGTTATGTTCCAGGCTTGGAAGAAGTAGGTAACAACCGGGTGGCGGTCCTCCTGCTGGCAGGGGGTCAGGGAACACGCCTCGGGGTGCCCTACCCCAAGGGAAGGTATAATGTTGGTCTCCCGTCACAAAAAACTCTCTATCAACTACAGGCAGAGAGGCTGCTCAAGCTGGAGCGACTAGCAACACAGCAGACGGGCAAACCCTGCACTATTCCATGGTAAGTTGTCACAAACCCACACCATTCCTGTATATTCATGTTGTATTCATAATATGTAGATATCGCAACATTTACACAAATATGGCCTTAATTTCGTACTTTTTTAAAATATTTTTATATTTGATTTCTAAGGCTATGTGTTGTTTTTGTTCTAGGTATATCATGACCAGTGAGCACACTAAACAGGCCACTGACGACTATTTCCAGCAGAACAACTACTTCGGCCTCCAGAAAGAGAATATCGTACTGTTTGAACAAGGCCTGCTGCCCTGTATAGGGTTTAATGGGAAAATCATCCTCGCAAACACACACAAGGTGGCCCTAGCCCCGGGTAAGTATCACTGTCTTGTGAGGTGATCATAGAAACTAGTGACATATCAGGGGTTAAAATGTGCTAGAGAACTGCACAGAATCTCTTTCTGTTTTTCTTTTTCTATAATATAAAAAGCTATATTGAATGACATGGAGTTCGGGTGTTAAATCTGTCCGGCAAGCATACATATGGAGTTCAAACATTGTCTGTGGTCGTCCTTGGTTTTGTTGGGGATAGGATGAGTTAGTGTCTATGATGGTGAGCTGATTGACTTTTCTGTACATCTGTTGCTAGGATTATGTGTGAATGTACTTGTAACATCATTGACCAAAGGACAGTGAGATTCATCTCCATAGAATTCAGATCTGTTAAACAAAGCATCATAGACAAACATACATGTATACCATCTAAAGGAAGAACACACAGAGAGGGTGTAAAATAACAACAACCAAAGCTTCAAAAGAACTTTTAGTGTAATTCGTTCAGGTCAGTGTTTTTACGCCTCTGTAATAAGGGTCGGCAATTGACCCCATTTCCATCACAGTTTACCCCATTTGTATCCCAAATCAAGCCAAAAATTCCCAAAATGTAAACGGTTTCATAAAACCTAAAAAAAAAGAATAACATCATTTTGTATTTAAATCTGAAATCGTATCACCGACACCTATGTTAAATATGCTTTTTTTCCATCTTCATAGAATTGCTAATTCACTTGAAAAACGCAATGATTATTGTTTATATGTGCGGGTTTGTTAAATGCAGTGTTTACCTGGTACTATGTAAGCATGGCCATCATAATGTCTGTCTCATCCGCGCTATCTCGAGGAGGCAAATACAACAACATACCCTGCCTCCAGCCCTCAAACACACAGACAGGCAAACATTACAAACATACGGAGTAACGCCCTCTAATGAGGGTAGCTTTTAATAGGACGTTTAACAAAACACCAAACCAGCTCGTTTGTCTATCATTAATTTACAGTACTTTAAGTTTTTCCTAATTCACAATAAAACAAATTACCAAAACGCTGCAGATTTCTTATTATTCCTAGATGAAAACAGACTACAGATTAACTCCAGGGTTTTCTTCCTTAACATACTTGAATTTTTTGAAATTTCCATGGGAGAGACTACATGTTCTCAGAATAAAGAGCGTAAATAAAATGAGTGTATGTACACCCTAGAGAGAAAATAACACTTTTAAAGGGCATCTTTTGAGCTGTTCTTTCAGATGAAATAATCAGATCTTTGAAAATCGGAATAGTTTAGCAAATTCACTGGTTGAAAATGCTAAACTTTAACACTCAAAATCGGGAGTCTCGTGCGAGTATGCCTAAAGTTTGATCATGAATATTTTTTCTTCAAAGTTATTTGCCAAGCTGAAGTTCTTTCATAATTACTGTCAAAAACATGATTTTTAAAGTAATAGTCAGTCCTGCTTGTACATCATAAAAGTAGGGCTAAGACTGAAAGAGCTCCTTAAGTTATTTTATATACCATACCTGGCACAGAAAAATTCTTATCAGTGTTAACAGTTTTTTCTCTTTTCTATAAATGTTAAGAAAAATTCCAGGAAGTGTGACAATTTATAACTTCAGCAACAACAGTTATATATCAGATTACATAAGGATATACCTTATCATAAAAAGGTAACTGAAATACAAACTTCTCGTCTTTTGTTCGTAAATCTTGTATGGAATGTGAAACGATCTAAGATCCTGTAAGTATATACAGTACTGAGGACATTGTATTTTGGTTACATTCTGGATGACGCAATGAGGCTCCATATTGCTGAGTAATAGATTCATAACTGGGCTGCCATGGCCAAGTGGTTAAGGCTTCTGACATTCTGCTACCGCTAGCGCTCCACCACTGGGTCGCAGGTTCGAGACCTAGGTAGGGCTGTCACCAGGTACTGGCCGTAGGTCCGTGTTTTTTCTCCGGCTTTCCTCCACCACCAAAACCTGGCACATCCTTAACTCATTCACCCCTGAAGACACATTTGAACTCTTCCAATTCAAAGGTTGGAATAGTTCATTATGAAATTTCAGGGGTGAATGACTTAAATGACCATAGCTGTTAATAGGACATAAAACACAAACAAACCAAATGAAAAAAAAAAGATTCATAAACTTGTCAAAATGCCCTGAAATTTTAACTCCTGTGTTACAAGTTTCCCCTGCTGTGTTACCTGAGTGGTTGGGAGCAGTGTTTGTACTAGAGACGACAGGAGTAAAGTGACCGTACACAATGTGTGCTGTACATATCCGGTCCTTGACTTCCATAATTATCAGATGTGGCAATCAGATATTTTAACAATAGAGACACTAATGGTGGTTATTAAAACCTCTCGACTTTAAGTTTGTCTTGATAGGGAATTTGAAACAAACCAAATACGACATTGTTTGACGGTGTTTGCTGTGTATTGTTTACGAAGAGGTATTTGGAGTGGCAAAGCTACTGACATCAGCTCTCTGTCTATAAAACCATTCTTACACTCAAAACTCAAATTCTGTGTTCTAGCTCAAACATTGTTCAAGTGAGAAAGTTTTGCTGGAGTTAAATTTCACCTTTGATGACCTCCGCAATAATATACCCTAAATAGTGATTACATGTGAAGGGCGAATGTTAAACTCCATAAATATGGGTTTTACAGGTGAATGGTGAATATTTGACAGTAATCATTAAAAAATAGATATATTGTGTTTCCTATGCATATATGTGTGAATTATTGAGACATCACACATACACAGATTGATATTGTTTTATTCACTGACGGTGCTAAGTTTGTTTTTTGTCTCGCCGCCACAAAGAAGCGGAAGCAAGAACTAAGGTGTTCCTTTTCTGGCAACGGGGGTGTCAACATTAAGTATTTGCGCCTAAGTTAGTTTCACTGAAAGTATAAGTGCTAGACCAACCAAACTTGGACCACTAATACATCTTAGGTAGTACATCTCAACCCATGCATCGAATGCTGGATGCGGCCTACCTTTTATAGTCCTTTGACTTTGTCAGTAACTCCATCAACATTAAGTTGTTTCGTTAGTTAGTTTCTCTGGAACTGCATGTGCATTGATGGTCAAAGCAGGGCACAGGCAAGACATATCAATCCGAAAGGCTTGTCTTGGTATGTTTGATAATGTAATTAGATTGCGGTTTATTAAGACACGGTCCAGACAGAGAGGTGTAGATCCATTTTACTTGCCATGTTTACCTGTAGGGGAAGTAATCTGATGACATGGGTAGACAAACACAGGTTGTTTACTGTGGCTAACATTACACGCCTTGCCACACAGTGTTATCTTGTGTCAGCAAATTAGTGTATTCCCATTATATAATACTGATTAAAGTCAGGGATATAAACCCACTGAGGCACTTCAGGTCAGACTAGCTATTATCAAACTTGTTTGAATACAAGTGACTGATTAGAGGACCTAATTTTAGATTGCTGATAATAAAGTTGGTATCCCTCTGAATATTTAAGTGTCTAGCCTTGCATACATAATACTAAATACCTTGAGATCTGTGTACAACTAGGTATACAAAAATGTAACCATTCATTCATCTGGATTTTTTTAAAATGCAAGGATTGTTATGTAAATGAGCTTTACTTACTCATATCTGAACAGAAACACCTACATACACCTTGCAGAGTTGTACAGGGACCTATTGAAGTTTGATGATGAAATGTTTTTTGTTTAATTCTTTTGTTGAAAATTGTGGAAAATGATAAACAATTCTAATTGGACACATTGATATTTTCTTAAAAATAACCCACACGAAAACAAATGAAGTAAAAAAAATAACACCATTGTCAACATTGTTGCATAAAACAGGCAAAATAATAAAATCTATAATGCAACACTTGCATCCCTATTTAACTTAGTAGACTCTACCACACATTGATCTGGATGAGTCCATTATGGTTTTCAGTAGGGAAAGGGTGAAATTATTAAACCTTTCACCCCTATTTATCTTTAGTTGACTCTACCATGCATTGAACTGGATGAGTCCATTATGGTCTACAGTGGTGAAAGGGGTAAGAATGAATGAATTGCATTTTAGCACTAAAATTCTCAAGTGTTTTGTTCGCTGTGGGACAGATATATTTAAGTTCCTAATACGGTTATTAGTTATTTATATGAAGGAGTTCCCATAACATAACAAGCTTCTGTGTGTTTTATAAAAGTCCTATGGAATTTCCAGGAATGGAGAGAAGTTTGAGAATCTCTTTATATATAAGGGGAGATAATTTGATTTTACTGGTGTGAAGGTAACGCACAACAATTTTCTTTGTAGTTTCCTTCATTTAAAAACTTGATATTAATGTGATCCACATCTTAACAAGACAGCTATAACATTTCAAATTGATGGTCACTTTCTCATTGATCAATATAACTCAGTATAATGATCTGCTTGTGTTGATGTGATGTCATATTTGTCTCGCTGCAACAGAGTAGAGGAAGCGGGAACTAAGGCGTTGCTTTTCCGGCGATGGCATCAACATTAAGTATTTGCGTTTAACTTAGTTTCACTGAAAGTATAAGTGCTAGACCAACCATATTTGGAACATAGACAGGAGGGGGGGCCCATTAATTAATTTGTGGTGTTGCCCAAAATTTTAATCTCAGAAAAAGACTCAAGAAAACTAATAAATTATAATTGTCATGTCGGTTGTACGTGTATACTACTTTCTGGCACCAAACAATATATAGAACTTCATTATTTCAGAGATTGTGACAATGATAATTTCCCTGCCGAGCAGAGCGAGTCGAATATTAGAGTAAATATTAAATATTGATTTATTTTGTCATAAATATGAATTATGATTTGACTGTTACTTTGTCTTTTATTGTGAATTTGTATGCATGCATATGTACAAGGGCAACAGCTGTTAAATTGGATATATATATACATGCCAGGCTTTTATGCTAACATTGGTTATTATTCACCTGATAACGTGATGCTAAGGTGGATGCTTTATTGTCTTTGAAATTTTTGAAATTTACATTTTTTAACAGGTATAATAAATCACTCCTGGTGATCATGTGTACATGAAACCACATGTGAAAATACAGGTTTATCTATTATGAAATGGACTCTACCTTTGAAATAACAATTAACATATATACCTAATTCCAACAGTTGGTTTTATCCTTTCTCAACGGACAGGGTGATCACCACACCGTGACATTAGAACAATACAATTAGGTAGACAGTCCATTGAGCCTTCACCACTGACCTGACTGGAGACACTACTAATATTTAAACAAAAGATGATTAATCCCCTATAAAATAAATGTAGTGGACTCCTTGTTTGGGCAACTGCACCCTTAGGCATATATAGATATTCAAACCTCTGCTTGCCATAGAAAATCATAGTTCACAGGATGGTTGATATTAGAAGAAAATCCCATATGAAAAAGAGAAAAATCTTCAAAAACCTAAGTCCAGATTATTTTTGGACACAGAAAAAAGGGTGTTGCCCGGGCAACTAGGGCAACACCCCTTGGTTTGCCACTGATAGATGCATCTTACTAGTACATCTCAACCCATGCATCAAATGCTGGATGCAGCGTACGTTTCATGGTCCATTGACTTTGTCAGCATTTCCATCGACATGAAGTTTTTGCGTTTAAGTTAGTTTCTCTGATATGTGCATTGATGGTCAAAGCGGGGCACAGGCAAAACATATCAATCCGAATGGCTTGGAAATTTCCTTTCTTTACCCTTGGGTTAGACAGAACAGTCTTCCCCTGACAATTTTCCTAGCAATATGTCAATCTAATGAGGGAGAAATATGTATCTTCTCTTAACTTTTTCAGCCAATCAGATCTGAACACTTTTTGTCTTGTATAATACCCAAAAAATTAATGACATGTCACATGTAATAGCTAAGAAGGAAACCCTAATGCTGTAGCTACATACAGTAATTTGGAATTGTTTTCATTGTATATTAGATTTCAGTACTGGTACATCTTAACAAATATCTGACTTTACCTACAGATGGAAATGGTGGCCTGTACCGAGCGCTGCGGAAGTGGAAAGTCTTGGAGGACATGGAGAAGAGAGGGGTGACCAACATACACGTCTACTGTGTAGACAATATACTCGTCAAAATGGCCGACCCTGTCTTCATCGGCTTCTGTAGGACAAAGAAGGCCGAGTGTGGAGCGAAGGTAAAATTTCAAACTTGGTCGTCTGTCTTGATGTTTTGAAGTAATAAGTGCTGTATTTCTCACTTTGTTTGGCTGTAAGTTTGTAATCCTCTGACCTGTGAGTCGATGTGGTGGTACAGACTGTCATTTCTCCAGTGGCTTTGTAATTTCTCTTTAAATAACTTCTATAGAGTTGTATGGTTTAGAGTCATAATATTGGTTCAAACATTGTTGTCGCATAGGTTTTCTGATTTGTTGAAATAATTAACTGACTCACTTTCATAATCACTGGGACCAAATATATTTAAAAGTTGTAATGACTTAGAATTTCTTCTACAGGACTATGAGGCCTAATTTATGATACTTGTGCTAAAGCATTCTGGGCTATCTGGCGGTCAACTTTGCTCAAATATATTACCTTGACCTGCCTTCAAGGTCACAATCATTGCCAAGTGTATTAAAATGTCCTGAAAACTGTGAGAGCTTTAGTCATGATATTTAGTCTGTATATTTCTGGGAAGGAGGGCTATCAAGTATGTACAAATGAATGATTCAAGGTGGTAGGGGTCAGATGTTTTGGAAACTTAACTTAGAATCACTTCCAACTCTTCTGAAACCCAATGTCATATAGCTTGATCAGTTGGATAACTATCATATCAAATGACCACAAGCAAATGACTGTGGCCATCTTTCAAGGTCATTTGAGTCAAATATGTTGGAAACGATGTCTATTTATCTTCTAAACTTTGGTGTGAACATTCAGGCCCTTATGGCCTCTTGTTTTAATTCTTGTAAAATGGAAGAATTGTCATGACCTTTATGGGTTGAGTCTAACTGAAAACTACAGACTTCCTTGTCCAATGTCCATCTTTTGGATTCTTTTTCAAATGAAAAAGTTGCAGTTTATAGAAGAAGAAAATGTTTTAACAGTATGTCTGAATGTTTACAGTGATATCCATCTATATAAAACAACTAGCAGGATGTCTTTCGTATAGGTCATTATTGCCTTGTTAAATTAACGGTATACTTTATTTTTTATTCAGGTTGTAGAGAAGACCGTGGCCACAGAGGCTGTTGGCGTGGTTTGTAAGGTGGAAGGTCGTTACCAGGTTGTAGAGTACAGCGAAATCACGCTCAAAACGGCCGAGTTACGGCGCGACAACGGACAACTGACTTTCAACGCGGGGAATATATGTAACCACTTCTACACTCTGGACTTCCTCAAACATGTATCACAGTAAGAGCACCAACCAACATCAATCACTTGGGTCTCTTGTCTTATCTTATGTTACTGTGCATCCTCCATACTCCAGGGGTTTCGCTCACTTTCGCTCTCTGCACCCCTGGTATATATGTCATAGTGAAATTGAAGGCTTGCAGCTAGCTATTGGAATGGTCTCTGGTAAAAAGCGCCTGACCAATCACTGATACATGTCCTTTCAACAGTACAGAGGAGCGACTCCCGACTTCAAAGCCTGTCACTTTTACCGTTAGGCAACCGCAGGATTCTTTTGATGTACATCAAAGGATCAAACCAGTCTCCTTGTCTCATACACAAGGTGGTGCACACTAAACCTTCGATTTTGCTGCGACATATTCCAAAGGTGCAGAGAGTGAAAGTGAGCGTAACTCAAGGCGTATAGAGGTGGTTACTGTGAGGGTATGACAGAAATCTCAACCAAAGGGGTGACATTCTTGGTTGTCTAACTTGAGACTTGCTTGAAACCAAGAGTAAGAAATTAAATAATCTCACCCGTAGGTCGAGATATATCCGGTATATCTACCTCATTGGTGATGTTCCTTTTTGTCTCATCCTTTCAAAGAAGGTTGACAACAATGTGTATTATCATTTATAATCTAGCTGTTTTATTCCTGATTTGTACATGCATGACCTTATTCGTCGAGAGTGGAATATGGCCTCATATTTTATCGTTCCTGTAATATCATATATTATTGTTCGTTTCCATGTGCAATCTGTCATACCTAGGGAGTGACAAATACCTTGCACATCCTACCTCAGAATGTTACAAAGTAATCGAATCCTAGTGGGTAACAGAGAAATCATACCCTAGAAGGTGACAGAGAAATCACACCCAAGGGGGTGACAGAGAAATCATACTCTAGAAGGTGACAGAGAAATCATACCCTAGGGGGTGACAGAGAAATCATACCCTAGAAGGTGACAGAGAAGTCATACCCTAGAGGGTGACAGAGAAATCATACTCTAGCTGGTGACAGAGAAATTATACCCTAGGAGGTGACAGAGAAATCATACCCTAGGGGGTGATAGAGAAATCATACTCTAGAAGGTGACAGAGAAATCATACCCTAGGGGGTGACAGAGAAATAATACCCTAGGAGGTGACAGAGAAATCATACCCTAGAAGGCGACAGAGAAATCATACCCTAGAGGGTGCCAGAGAAATCATACCCAAGGGGGTGACAGAGAAATCATACCCTAGGGGGTGACAGAGAAATCATACTCTAGAAGGTGACAGAGAAATCATACCCTAGAAGGTGACAGAGAAGTCATACCCTAGAGGGTGACAGAGAAATGATACGCCAGGGGGTGACAGAGAAATAATACCCTAGGAGGTGACAGAGAAATCAGACCCTAGAAGGGGACAGAGAAATCATACCCTAGAGGGTGACAGAGACATCATACCCTAGAAGGTGACAGAGAAATCATACCCTAGAGGGTGACAGAGAAATGATACTCCAGGGGGTGACAGAGAAATAATACCCTAGGAGGTGACAGAGAAATCATACCCTATGGGGTGACAGAGAAATCATACTCTAGCTGGTGACAGAAAAATCATACCCTAGGGGTTGACAGAGAAATCATACCCTAGAAGGTGACAGAGAAGTCATACCCTAGAGGGTGACAGAGAAATCATACTCTAGCTGGTGACAGAGAAATTATACCCTAGGGGGTGACAGAGAAATCATACCCTAGGGGGGGACAGAGAAATCATACCCAAGGGGGTGACAGAGAAATCATACCCTAGAAGGTAACAGAGAAATCATACCCTAGAGGGTGACAGAGAAATCATACTCCAGGGGGTGACAGAGAAATCATACCCTAGGAGGTGACAGAGAAATCATACCCTATGGGGTGATAGAGAAATCATACTCTAGAAGGTGACACAGAAATCATACTCTAGAAGGTGACACAGAAATCATACCCTAGGGGGTGATAGAGAAATCATACTCTAGAAGGTGACAGAGAAATCATACCCTAGGAGGTGACAGAGAAATCATACTCTAGCTGGAGACAGAGAAATCATACCCTAGGAGGTGACGGAGAAATCATACTCCAGGGGGAGACAGAGAAATCATACCCTAGAAGGTGACAGAGAAATCATTCCCTAGAGGGTGACAGAGAAATCATACCCTATGGGGTGACAGAGAAATCATACTGTAGCTGGTGACAGAAAAATCATACCCTAGGGGTTGACAGAGAAATCATACCCTAGAAGGTGACAGAGAAGTCATACCCTAGAGGGTGACAGAGAAATCATACTCTAGCTGGTGACAGAGAAATTATACCCTAGGGGGTGACAGAGAAATCA